AATATTAACGAATATTTCGAATATTTGAAATTGACTTTAACATGGATAATTGTCAAGTTATTGTAAAAATAATAAAATAAAATAAAAATCTTACAACTTCTGCCCGGTTATTAGGACTGAAATCGATCTGCGAACGTTGTTGCTCTATGAATCTAGTATTTTGTTCTAGCTATAATTAATCAATCCATAAGTTTTAGATATTACGCATTAAATAACATAAAAACTCCGATTAAGGTCTACCTTTTCAACAAATTGTTGGAGTTGTCGGTTAAATTTTGCATTTTTTGAATTCTTGATATGTCGTTTAATCTATAACAAGAATTAATTTATGAATTGGCAATTTTACAAATTACATGACAAATAAAGATTTACGAACTTGAATAATAGCGGGTATTGCTAATTCTGGAAATGCTATCGACAAACTGTAACATGAGTAATACTCGAACAATAATTCAATAAGTTCTTCGCAAATACCATCCTATACTGTAGCTAATTAGAAATACGTAATAATTTAAAACAATAATTATAGATATAATGACCATACCTGATATACTTTTGTATGTAGATAAATTTTTGGTGTTTTTAAAGTGGATGAAAAATCTAAAGGTTTTAGGGTCGCAAGTTTTGGTTTTCGGTGAATTTCTGATGAATGCAAAATATCAAAAAGATAAGGTGCGAGAGGGATAAAAGTCCCTGTTTTTTGGATAAGGTGAATCAAAGCACGAATACAATGAAAATGAAGCGGAAAGTATTGTGCTGTAATATTCAATCTAATACAATATAATTAATTAGAACATTAATTTAGTATTAAATTTAAAAAAATTCATTAATACCTTATTACACCAGTGCATACTTGCACTAACGGATAAATTAACTCCTGTAATGAACAATTATTATTGGTAGATTCTCGTGTTTGATCACAATAATTAGCCAGCACCTTGGACCAATATTCGATGCAATGCAAATATTGCCAATTGTACACAGCATTAAAGGTTTCCTATATTATAATAGCAATAATAATAATTCATGATAAACTCGTCAATATAATATATTATTTTTAAATCACTGAGATAATCCTCACCTCGCTCTTGTTATTAATAGAATTCCTTAAATGAATAGCTAATTGTCGAATATAATTAAATGCAGACTGATATGAACTTTTGAGATCAATTCCATATATTTCAACTGCACAATTACTCATAAGATTAATGGACGGTATCGTAAAGACGGTGGTTTCTTTGCAGTATTGGATAAAAGTAGTATAAATGCCCTGAAATTAATATTATTTTTAAGTGTGGACAGATAATAATGAATAGTTAAACTTAATAATGTCATACCTTTAGACAAAGGTCAATAAAAGGTGATGGTGCAATAGATGCAAGTTGACGAATATTAAAAAATGCGGCAATTCGAGTCTTGTCTTCTGCAGTTCCCCAAATGTCAAGTAGTTGCTTTGAAAATGGTGATATTTATAAGTATAATTTAATAATTTTAAAAATACAAGGTTTATTTACCTTTAAATAGTGCTTGGATAATTTAGGAAGGCATGCATAATAAGGGACAGCCTTCTCCGACTCTCTCACAATAAAGTAAATCATATCATTCTCAGTCACTTGCTCGAGCATATATAAAACACTGCTTAAGAAAGACTTTATAAGGGGTTCCAATGTTTTCCATTTTCGGTGCGTACATAGAAGTTTCCTATTTGAAAGTCTTAATCCAAATTTTTGAACAAAAAAAAATAGAATTTATATAATAGAAAACTAACTTGCTAGTTAAATTCTGATTTTGCCTATTTAAATGATGATCGAAAACCCCGGTTGTATATTTCAAACAAATGACCACAAGATTATTGAATACTATAGTCAAAGCATCAATAAGTGATAAATTTTCTGAATAAAAAAGTCATAGAATTATAAAAACCTGCTGAATCACTAATTTTATATGAATAATGTTTCTCTTCGCTATCATTAATATGAGCAGCTGCACGAAAAGCCAATAACAATTTTTGCAAAGACCGCAAAGAATGTGACTATATATGGGTGTACGAATAAGAAATTAATGACATTAATGGATATTTCGGCATTTCGGCTCTTATAAAGTCTAGTAATTACCTGAGTAATGGCCACTTGCAATTTCTTAACCATCGAAGTAGTTAAAGTCGGTATGCTATCACCAATATCATCGAGTTCAGCCTCTCTAAGGCCATTATCGAAATTGTCTACTTGCATATTCTAAAAGGCAATAGAAAATATTTGTGTATAGTATATGATGCTGAATTCTTTTCATTATTAATTAACAGGCTACCTCACTACTGTTTTTTGATTCATCCCAAATTATTTCCTCATTATCGCTATTTTCGTTAATATCACTACAATCGTCGTCTGATATATCAAAATTGAGCAAGGCGATGTCGTTCTCCTGAAGGTATTGGTAGAATTCTGGATCTTTTTCCTTTAGTGATTCCAGTTGCATTTTATGCTTCGATACTTCATTAGACTTTATACTGCTTTGACCTTTCATAATTTGATTGATATCCTGGAGCAGAGTCGATGATTTGCTGTGTTCACAAAAAACAACAGAATTATTAAGAAATTCGACAAAAAGAAATGTCTTAAAAAATTTTACGCTATCTGGCGTGCTAGCCAATCAGATCGCTGGTGTACTAGATAATCGATATCGATATCGATATATCATTATTGACACACTCCAATGCAGCAGACGTTCTTTGGA